ACCTGTTCAATATCCACGTATTCGTTGGCCGCGCTTACATTGTCACCGTTAGGCCCATACCAGAACCCTGGGATCCCACGATATCTCCAATACCGGAGATCAGAAATCGCAATGTCAGGAGTAAGCTTAGGCTTAGGCCAACCAAGCTGCGTGACAGTATTCTGGAGGATGACTGGCATCTCGTGATCTGTGGTTGATATGTCCCCTATATCGGCCCCTTCCAACTCAATACAAGCTTCTGGATATCGCCCGACTATAGCTTGGGCCTTCTTAAAGACCACCTCTGGATCCATACCAGTAGGTATGACAACAGTGACTTCAAAGAAACAATCAGGCGAAATAACAGATGGAGAGTTGCCGCCTGCGATAGTGCCAACATTCACTGAAATAAGGGAAATCACTGCCGCGCTTCCTTCTCCGTACATTCCATCGTACCATGCTCGATACTGCGCATCTTCGAGTAGCATCTTAATTGAAGTGGGGACTTCAACAGGAATATTCTCCAGTTCGTCCAGATCGTGAATGATGTCGGTAGCGATACGGATAGCACTAGGGCTGTGGTTGGGATAACCAGAGATGGCACCGCGGGTCGCAATACTGACATTGAACTGTAGGTAGCCCTTGGAGGAGAATGCAATAGCCTCCGTGCCACTTGGCTCGGGGGACAGAACACAGTCAGCTTCCATCTCGCTCGGAATTTGAGTGAACATATGTCCAGTCCCGCGACCCATACCAGTCTCCTCGTCTGATGCGAGGGCGAGGGATAATCTTCCAGATAGGTACTGTCTTAACTCAAACAGATAGTAATATGCAAAGAGAATGACGGTAACACCGGCCTTCATATCACTGGTGCCTCGGCCCCAGACACGACCGTCAACAATTTTGCCACTCCACGGGTCATCATGCCATCCCGGCTCATCTCCAGCCGGCAAGACATCAAGATGTCCGCTCAGCATCAAGTGCCGCCCCTCTGTTTCCATAGGGATCGTAGAAAGGATATTCGGCATTGACTCCTCAGCTGTAACTCTCTTAGAGAAGAGGTCCCTAGCGGAGAGAAACTTCTCCACCAAAATCATCGCCTCTCGAGTGTCGCCAGGTGGACTCGGTGTCTGACATTGGACAAAGGCAGAGACCAGTCTAGTGATAGCTTCCTTATCGCGTATGATCCATTCGTCCACTTTTTGCGTGATGTGCTCCATATTGAAGGTACTGAAATAGAGTCTGTTGATGGTACTAGGTATTTTCTCTCGTCAGGGATCTGATCAATGAATAATATAGGGTGTCTTACAAGGAACGATGTAAACTCAGGGGTGTTGCGAGCAAGCAGAATGCCGTTCGATAATTTTTATTAACTAGTTGCAGTCGCATTCCAACCTAGGCAATGATCGAGAGGATATAACAATGAAAAGTTCCTCGTTGAGACTTTATACTTATAATTAAATATAACCATTGACTAATATATAGCCCGATAGCTCCACCATAGCAGAATGCTGTTTCTCCATTCGTTGGAATACTAGAGTCGATTACTATATGGAGTCCGCGGGCACCGAGTATTATATTAAGAAACGGCTATCCTTTTAAGCTCTCATAGCACGGCACTGAGATTTTTGAAGAGAAAACGTTAAAAAAGTATTATTTTAGTAGATTAAAAGGTAGTGCGAGAGAATATACTGTAACAAGATATTAACTAAATGTTGAGTGGCCGGCATTTCATTCCCCTCACACTAACAAGCGACCGTCAACATGATCTGAGATGATCTAGCTGTACATGGGGTCGGGGAGTTTATATCTTTTTTTAACATGAAATCCTATAGTTTTCCATTGGTTTGGTTGGTTTGGATTGAATCTTCCAGTCCAAGGTTGCGTAACGATGACTTATCAGTCCAGGCCCCTAATTCTAGGTAGACTCTTGTATCTTCCATACTGATATTTTAAACTCCTGTTTTTATTACCTGGTTAGGTACAAAACGTTTTATTTACACCCTATCTACTTATGGGTTAGCATATCATGTGATTAGGGTTTGAACGGTGCTCTCTCTGTTCCCGACATAGAAGGCGATACTGGACTCTACTGTAATTTGGTATTGTCACTTTGTTACCGTACACTTGGAGGCGTTGGAGCTTCGTTTCCATAATGTAATTATGTACATATATATATCCAATGTATATATATGTGCAGTCTACTGAAGATTATCTTACATTTATCTATAGTACATGCAGTCACATTCCTATCATTTCTTATGTACCTATGTATGTACTGAGTATCGGAGTCTTTCCTACTCTGTATATTGCCCCTCCTTTCTTTTTTCTAAAATACAACCTTAGAAGGTCCTTGTCTTCGAGGTACATATTAGCTCCATCAACCGGGGGCTTGGCGCAGAAGCATAGACGTACTATGTTGTAAACGGTGTACTAAGGCCCGTCTCGGGTCTCGGGTTAAAGTCGACCTCGGGAGGTAACTACCTACCTAGGTACATGTAGGTAAGCTGATCTTTATATTAATCCCCGGCAGAATTTCCGAGCTGGTACAAGTGCGTCCGTTATACATAGTTTATGTACGAGTTTATCTCAAGTACCATCATGTTTTACCCTTCCACTAAAATCCCCAACGCCCTTTTTTTCGGACGGGCGAAAAGAGGGGCAAGTGGGCCTAAAATGTGATCACCGTCATGTCTCCGTACGCGGGCTAATATCTCCCCGATGACACTGCCAGTGGGGGGTAAGGTAAATGTATGTTTTAAATCGGCCGAGAATAAGTCTTCATTTTGGAGATTATTGCTGAGACTGAACTTCAGGGGAACGTAAGGGTCACATGACTTCCGTATTGGGAAATAGTACTCTTAAGTAAAATCCTCTGAAACCCCAGAAAACTGGGGCAAACCTGCATGCTGTATTACCTTCGTAATCGCCACGATAACACGAAGCCGCAGGTTATTATCGACCCCTTCCTTATCCTCTAGAGCATGAACCATTCAGCCTAGGCTACGACCTCGGAACTCGAGAGTCCGGCCCAAAGTCACGACCCGACGCAAGGGTTACTCTTGAGATACACTCTTTATTGTATGAATTCAATGTATATGCTACAAATCTCGCGCGCTACCATTGCCCCACCCGGGTCATTGAATCATCTCTTGTAATTCCACTTGAAACACCGACCATAAATCATCAACGGACCCGATCAAAATGTGACTGAAAACTTTCAAAAACACGAAGAGGATCGACTGTAAAACCATATCCTTTTTACAGACTTAGATTTACTAAGTGAATCCGCTATTATACCAAGATTATTCGCTAGTATTTCACGTATCACTCCCATGTCTTTGTCGGGATTCGATTCCAAACCTTGCAATTCTGTAGGATACTAACGCGAAGAGATATGCCGCGATCCGGTGACCGTCTCTAGGAAAAAGCATCGAACCACTCGACTATCGCATCCACAAGCTGCGACGACACGTTGTTTTTCGTCATTTGCTCTGTCACCAACAGTTCCAGTGTGTACAAGGCCGAGATACCTTGTGGTCAATCGGTGCACTACCTCGCGATTCCAAACAGCCCAATAGTGTCTCATGGGAGATGGAGTTGATCAATTGAGACTGGAGGGATTCTATGATATAGGACTTATCCGCGGTAGTATTGCACTTTAAAGAACTTGAACTTGACAAAGGACGAGCCGGGGAGGATTTCTTTTCTTTTGTTCATTCAACCAAATTCTTGTATATGCTTCACCCAATGGTTTACGAAATTATGGATGACAATGACGTTTATTTCCGAGGTATCAAAATCCGGAGGCAGGCAAACATATCCTTATATAGTATCTCGCGTAACTACGTATATAAGCCGTTCACAGAGGTCTTTTTCTGTCTTTCTTTTTTCTTTCAAATTCGTGGTGTCGGTGAGGTCATTAGTAATCACAGAGCAATGATTTCATCCACTGTGAGATTGAATGAAAGCAGATAAATGGCTTATCGCTGAAAGTCAGCGACTGGGAGAGTTTCGCAGATCATATCCTCGAGCATTGAAAGAAGGCTTGCACCCTGAAGCAAGTTTCCCAGGAAGCACATAGAGGTGAAGCGGATATTGAAAATATAATAATATTCAATAGTATATAAGCACAACCGTCCAATGCAAGCCAATAGGGAAAACTATAGAGGGTTGTCACTTAACAAGAAAGTGAGACTAGCCCCAGTATCATCACCACTGGAGTTAATATGGGACCTTCAAATTACACCTTTGCTTAGATGAAAATCCCTGAATTTGAAGTTACGAAACATATATACAATGACTAGAGGCTCCTGATAGACTCAATAGGTCATATCATTGAATAACCATGTAAAGGTGGATACCATTCTCATAGATGGTCAATGGCTGGATGTCGCATCAGTTGTCGCCACAGCGAGCTCAGGGGAGATAAAGGAAGATTTCAATAAAAGTAAGTGAAACGGAAGTATCATAAATTCATACAGACTGGGGAGGTATCAAAAGAAGCAAAGGAACCAACGGTGTTCATTAGATAGGGCACGATTTGCTTGCGGACATCTTGATTTAGCCCATTGGAAAGCCTTACAGTGCGTGAACCTGGTCCCACTAAATTTAATGGGCTTATGGCTAGGACCGTTCACTTGTTAGCATTCCCTAAACCGCATCAAGAGCTTTGATCGCTGTGCGGCGTGCCTCTACTCAGCACCTGCCCGGGCAGGTAGGCAAGATTAATTCTTCGTCAGCACCCACTCACGCACCCATGTGCAATTACAAGACGGGGGGAAAAATGCAAATGCGAGGACTCACCACTAAGGTACACGGGTTGAATGTCTAATTGGCAATATTTTCAAAAACAACTAGCTTGTTAGTGGACCGACACGGCTGTATGAGTATCCGTGAAGGCCCCGGGGTCCGCGGACCCCGGGACTTTCTTAGATCAATATAAATATCACTTAATGACTGTCAGCTATCCTTCACTATAGCATCATTATTTTTGCAGAAGGAAAAAAGCACACTATCCAATGGCGGATCCAGTTCAGTTCACCAATACCGCAACCTCAGTTTCTCACAACTATTATCCACCTACCATACATCTACCCCAATATGTGGACAATGAAACCCCTGCAGTTTCGATAATTATTCAATTCAGCTTTCTATGGGCAGCTGTATTGGGAGCAGCCTTGATCATCATATGTCGTGTGCGACCGACTGCCAGTAAATCAGATAAGCTTGCTTTCGTTTGGATGTGCCTGAGTAAGTTCTACATTCTCCTTGGCCATATGGGAACTTTGAACATAAGCTCACTGATATACAAAAAAGCGGGATTCATCCATTTGTTTTTTGAGGCATACTTTGTTATAAATCATAAAACACTTGCAGGCTCACAAGAACTATTCGGCCAGCTATGGAAGGAATATTCTCTTTCCGATTCTCGTTACTTGACATCCGATGCGTTCTTAGTCTCTATGGAGTTTGTTACTGCGGTAGGCTCACATCTCTCTAGTTCGGGTATTGAACTTACCTCTTACTGACTATCTTCTTAGTTCGTTTGGGGCCCTCTTGCCTTCTATATCGCATATTGCATTACAGTACAGCATCCCGCACGTTATTCTCTACAGCTTGTGATTTCCGTGGGTCAGGTATATGGCGATGTCCTTTACTATGCAACGAGCTTGCTTGAAGTCTCGTACTGTCGACCAGAAAGATATTACTTTTGGTTTTATTACTTCTTCTTCAATTTCATCTGGATTCTTGTTGGTTGCTGTTCGTATTTATTCCCCATGTGTTGTATTTGAGTTGCTGACATATTTGTCTAGATTATGCGAGCCAGAGCATTACGGAAATAACGAAGACTTTCGCGAAAACTTCACTCAAGACGAAACTCCCCTGAGCCGTCCCCCGGGGGCTATAATGCTGATTCCTATAGATTGTTGAAGTAGGGCAATATTGTTGCCAGTTTTGATACTGTATTATCCTAAGCTACGCAATCTAACGTACTGTGATACCCTACTTGTGACGAGAAGCCAATATAGTCATGATTTTAAATATGGTCTTAGATCCTGAATTTGTCTATATACAGATATGTATATCTAGAGCTATTGCAATTGACATGGGTGGCTGCTTTGACTACTTCCGAGGCTTGATTCCAGTCGTAGGCTCGACATAATCGAAATGACCCAAGCCCGCGAGGAAGTACACGTGCTGTGGACCATGGGGCATAAGGCCAGCCAAGTTGAGGAAGTCGTGTGGGAAGCCAAGATCAAAGTCGTAGCCTTTGCCAACCTCTGCAACATCCTCGGGAGTAAGCTCTAGGCTCAAGGCTGCGACATTGACCTTGAGATGAAAGACTTTGTTTCCGCCAACCATAGGGAAGATATACGGAGCCTGAACCGGTTATTCAAAGAATGGTTTATGAGATTAATGCGCTTTTACCTTCTGCGGTGCATAGGCGAGCGCAACGGACGTAAGAGGGACTTAATGGCGCTTAGCGACAGCATCCAAGGCAGCCGACACCTGTTCTTCGCGGCTCGTCTTAACATGAGACGTTTGACGACCACCTTCCTTAGGAGCTACATCAGATGAGCGGAACTATCCTACAGTCATTAATAAAAAAATAAAAATAAAAGTTCATGGTAGAGGAAGACTTACCACTGCCGAGCACATCCCACGAGTGAATAGCCATGCCCTCATCCCGAGCCATAGGGATGATATCACGCTCGAGATCGCGCATCATAGCCGAATACCGACCCTGGTAGACGGAGAACTGACGTAGACCATACTCGCGCGCATAAGCATTATCCTTGGTAATGACCCAGGCAGGCGTGTCGCTGATCCCTAGATATAGCACCTTGCCCTGTTGCACGAGGGTATTGAGTGATTTCATCAGCCCAGGGATAGAGGTAGCAAATTCCCACGCATGAACGCAGTATAGATCAATATGACTGACCTGAAGGCGCTTCAGACTGTCGTCGACAGCCACACGCATACTCTTAGTGCCCATGCCACCGTAGTTGCTCTGCTGCACGGGCTTACCGAAGATCGGGCTCAGTGTTTACTTGGTTGCGAGCACGATCTCAGGCCGTCAGCCTGTCTTTTGCAGCCACTCACCGATCCACTCTTCGCTCTGTCCAAATTGGTACATATTGGCGGTGTTGACGAAATTACCCCCTAGATCGTAGTAGGCGTCTAGCAGCTCGAATACCTACTACGTTGTACATTCACCTATCATGCCCTTCCAGTTATCACCAAGACCTAGACAACAATTTATTATTATGCCTTTTGATAGGAAACGAAAAGCAGAGTAACGAACCCCTCGGGACTGTTGAGCAGCAGCGGGTAGTCGCAATTCCACTTGTGGCGCTCCACATTATCCCAGTCGCCCATCGGCAAGGCAATGTTGTCTAGAAAGATAACGACACCTTCAGCTCCGCGTCAGTAGAAGGGTTCACCAGAGGTGCCTTGAGTCACGCCACGGACGAGGGGGTGGCGGAGCTCGGTGATCTGGATCAATGGCATAAATGCCTTGCCTACAGGGCACGGTCGTAGATGGGGAGAAGAAAAACCGGGTGAAACACAGCGAGAAGTTAAAGGGATGATGGGAGAGGGATTATACAGAACCAGTCCTCAGGGTAAGAAAGGAGTGAAAGTCCTCAAGGATGCAATTATTGCACTATTATTCCATCCAATATCCGATATGGTGTAGTGGCTAACATCGCCGTCTCTCACACGGCAGCCGGGGGTTCGATTCCCCCTATCGGAGCTTCTATTTTGCAACTTTTTTTTGTCTTTTTCTTTCCATTTTTCCTTTCATTTTTCCTTTCATTAATTGAATCTTAATGTTTTATGTGTCTTTGATCTTGTTCCAGAATGAGAATTTCTTTGGTAGCTCCCGAGGCCCTGGTGGACTCCATGAGTCACCGAGGCCAAGCCACAATCACATTCTGAGTCATTGGCACCCTACCCCGGGGCCCGGGGGCCAAAACCTATGTATGATCCTATCACTAGAAGCCATACGACACCACTCCATTTATGACTATACGTGAATCATTCCAATGTTTCATCTCCAGCTGCACGGGGCTGAGGCTCGCAAACGTGAAATCAAGATGGGGGAATATGTACGATTATGGTGATATATATAACTACTATATAAGTCACTCCAGTTTCCAGGTTAGGTAGTGGAAACCAACTCGAAGATCCCGGAATTCTTAAATCATTGAAAAGCATGGCTTTAAATAACCCGAGCGAAACATATGCCAATATGACTACGGGACAAGAGGCAGCCCGATTCCTATCAGAGTCAACAATCTCGCCTCGAAAGCGAGATCAGCGAAGCGTTTCACCTGAATATGACCCCAAGGCTGGCGAAAACAGACTACGCCCGGCTGGAGGTAGGTAGTTAGGTTGAAAAATGTATATATCGCCAAGTTCGACAATCTGACAACTTATAGATATCATCAATCGCATTACTTGGGATTCGGCGTTTGAACGCGGTAACTATATCATTGGATTCGTGGACCGATTTGAAGGACAATTGGAAATCACCATGGGAAGTTGGAAGAAGGAGACCACCGATGAGGAATTCATTCCACAGCACCGGGTGTTGTATATCAGACATACCAATGGGGAGATTGTTTGGGACCGAAGGAGACGTATTGACAAAATCTTTTTGAGTGGAAACTCGGCCTTCAGCGAATTGGCATTTCTTGCCTGAAGTTGCACCTTTGTGCCTTCGCATGTTCACATCGTCGTACCTTCCGTCATTTCTTTTGTTTACTTTTCTGTCTCGTCCCTTCCTTGCAAGGTCCTGAGGGACACCCGTACAGGTTCTTGTCTCTGTCATCTTATAACATTTCAACTTTCATCACCTCATTACTCAACCCTAATCATCCCATAAGATGGACCATTCCAAGAAGAAATCGTCTTTACCTCGCTTGACCACCAACATTCCCCTACTACAAAAACCCCCTAATGCATTGTATAATGCCATACCAAACCCTCTCGATTCCAGCGCACCCCCAATCATCATGCCCGAGAAGCCAGCGAGAACTTCATCAATGTTCAAGAAGGAAAAGCACGACGAGGAGAACATCGTGCCCATCACACGTTTTGCGTCAGAGAGCATGCCAATCTATCTTTCCCAGAAAGGTGTGGACGATTCCCCGTTAACAAAGGAGAAAAAGTTGTACTACGAAGACGCATTTACGGCTCGTGGATCGCATAATTCCCCCAAGGACCGCGTAACTCATGAATCTGTTGTTGTTGTTGAGCTCAAGACCAATACCAAAGTTTGTGACGTGCTGACATCTGCTCGGTGATCGCTCCCTACTAATCCACCAACTAGGCAAAGGATGATACACCCAAGTTACTGTCGGATTTTGCCCATTTCCTTGCCCAGGTCTACCAGCGTCCGGAAACATCCATGCTAGTTACTATCGACCAGAATGCTGACCTGCTTTTCGGAAATACCTCCGGCTCGGCGTACCTGTTGAAGATCACAGCTCTCTCGAGTCTGATCGGGCCGTTGACCAACCTCCGCAACACTGGCCTAATCCAGTCAACCATTCAAGATATGTTTGGCATTGCCCCCGACAAAGGGGTGTTAATTTACACCCCAGCTAGCGAAGACAATCTTGCAACCAATGGGATGACTGTGAGGAGTGAGATCGATCACCTTGAACGAATTGATTCTAGCAATAGTCCCTCGATCCTCAAGTCTATCTCGCGATCAATGAGCCGTCGTATCAAATCGAGCAGTGGCAACAGTGCTCCAATCTCTCTCACTTCAGTTATGAGTCCTGATGTCGCAATCCCTACTTCAACTTCGCCCGTCGCCCTTGCTTCAGGTCTGGCCCCTCTGCCGAAGCCACATGAGACAGATGAAAAAGAGCCGATGGCCTCACCAAAGAGCGAATCAATCAAGCAGGTCTCATTCAAGGACGAGAACTGTGAACGAACCTTGAAGAAAAGAGAGAGCTTGAAAAGTTTCGTTAACCGTCGTTTGGGCGAATTGGGCGACCTGACCACAAAGAAGCCATTCACAGCCACAAAGGGAAAGAAGGATTGACTTACAAAGGCTCTGTTTGAGAATCACAAAGTGCAATGGATGATGTATTTGATTGCGTTGGGGTCTCCTCTCAATAGGGCTTCGGCATGTGGCTTCGCTTTATCAAACTATCCATGGATTCATTCTATATTATTATACCATGCATCCTTGGCCATAGTGTGTCGAGTTCGAGTCTTTCTCTTAGCACAAAATCGATTTAGATGACCGCTTGTCAATGTAGTGAGTATTTCCCCCTTTTGCTTCCTTTCCAAGGGTTCTATATATGTATATCCTTTTGTTTTTTGAAGTGGTTAAAGATGCGTTGCTTGCGAGCTTCACGTGAGACCGTGGTAGTTCGGACGATAAAATACCTAACTCTTCCTCTATTATTCTCTCTTGAACTCTTTCCCCGATACTATTATCACTTCCCTCAACCTTTCTCAGGGAGCATGAGAAAATCCCAGTTTCTTCGTTTGCTTTCTCCGTCTACCACACAATATCATGTCGGACGCAGGCGATAATCAGGTTGCAGCGATTGATCGCACTGACAGCGATGAGTCGTTGGTATTGATGACATCGTCTTTGCCTGCCGTCAGCTTTGTCCAGGAGACCCCCGGCGATCTGTTCGATGCCCCCAATGGCGCTGCTCTAATCCGTGAGAACCCCACATTTAGCGTTTATTATTATTAAAAAAAATCCTGACTAACCTAATCAATGTAGATGCGTGCAACTGCCAGGGTGTCTGGGGTGCAGGCATTGCCCGTGCATTTCGTGAGCGGGTTAGTCGATCAATAATCACTCACTTGATGCGACAATCTAGAGCTAATAAGACGATGTTTGTTTTTTTTAGTATCCCGGGGCCTACGAAATCTATCGCAACCACTGTCTCATTTATCGCGACCACCCTGTCACCCACACCATCACCGACCTACGAGACGATGAACCGCAGCCCTCTCTCGTTGTCCACTGTCCCCTTGGTACCGCACTCATAATTCCACCACAACAGAGTGACTTCCTCCTACATCGCCGTCGCCATTGGATAATCTGCCTCTTTACCTCGGAATATTATGGCAACCGTGTGGATCCGGAGGACATGGTTGTTAATAGCACTTTTGCTGCCCTACAGGACCTGAGTGGACAGCTACAAGTTCGTTCCCAGCAGGCCTCTGAGACTGGTAATGAGCGACCCCGCAGACTCTACTCTAGCCGCTTCTGCGCCGGTCTTTTCAACGTTCCTTGGGAACGCATTCGTAAATTGATCGACATAGTCGGTCTGCATGTCAATGTGTACCACCCCTTTGAGGCCGGCAACCGCCGCGTTCGCCCCGTTCGAATGGCGCGTCCCAGCGATATTGACCTGGACTGAGAGAATCAAGGTATCTACCTCGTCTGCATCACCAAAGGCTTTGGCTCGTGGGTTTCTACCTGGTGTGTTGAGGAGCGAGGGTTTAACGCATCACTCTTCATTTGATGAAACTCGAGACTAGTAGCCATGGAAAGCATGTACTTAACTTTGAATAAACAAAAACAAACACACACAACCAAAAAAAAGAGACCGCAGAAATGAAAAAGAACATCAAGCCTATGGCAACTAGAAAAGTAGGGTCTCCCCTCATCACCTGACAGCGCGTACTGTAGATCGCGCCCGCGTTGGGGTGTTCCCCAATTTCCCCAATATCCCCAATCACCCTCACCATTGCTGCTTGCGATTCCCCATATCGCCCATCGCATACCTGGTGCAATTACTTAGGATACCAAGATGCCTGGCGAACCTCAACCAGCTCAAAAGCGCCCACGTCTCCCCTTCAAACCTCCCAGTCGCACGACTAGCGCGGGACCATCCAGCTCCACGCCTAAGGCCAAAGGAAAAGCGAAGCAAACCAGCACAAAAGCTTCTGCGTCCACAGCCGTGCCCAAAAAAACAGAACACAAACCTACGACCCAAAGCAAGGCTGCAACCCAGAAAAAATCCACAAATATCGGGAAACGCCCCCGACCCGATTCCCCGGCAGCCAATGCCGCCTCCGAATCCGAATCCGAATCCGAGTCCGAGTCCAATGGATCGACCCGCAGCCGCTCTCTCTCGCTCTCTCAAGAGCCGGATTATATCCTTGCTGAAATAACAACTACAAACCAAGCAGAGGATGTGACTTCGAGCGACCCGAAAATACCATCCAAACTGCTCACACGCCTGCTGCACCAGCATTTTCAGAATGAGAAGACCAAGGTCGCAAAAGATGCCAATAACGTTGTTGCCAAGTATATTGATGTTTTTGTGAGGGAAGCCATCGCCCGAGCTGCTTATGAGAGGGCTGAGTCAAATGGAAATACCGGGGGCAGAAGTCTCGGAGACGGGTTCCTCGAGGTAAGTCTTCATTCTTTTATCCTCCAATTGGCCTATCCTGGGTATTCTGATTGGTGTTATAGGTTGAAGATCTTGAGAAAATGGCCCCACAGCTCACGATGGATTTCTAGCCTATGCATCTCTTCTACAAAGGGTCACGGCGTTGCTTCAAGTTCATCATGTATTAGGGCTTGTTGTTTATTGTTCAAGATACCACAGAATCAGCAGCACACATGCAACACTTTTAATCCAAACATCTTCAAACGCAAGCGGCCTGCAAGAGTGAAATATCCCTCGGGTTCATATACTCAGGTGGCTTCCCCACGGTATGGTCCTCCACAAAGGGTGGCACAGCCCCGAAGCCATTCGCATTGTGAAACAGTGCAATATCTCCGTTCACCCTCTTCGACAACCACGCATTCGCCACATAGGCCGTGTTCCTTTTGCTTAGATGAACAACAGCAACGGGGAGCTTGTTCTGCTCGGGCAGATGGCCGAGCTTGGCGTCGTAGGCCGTGTGGCAGATGTCGAAGACGAAGAATACTCGCGTCCGCCACTTCTGGGCTGCCACTAACTTTGTTGCTGGGTGGGCTTCTTGTGGGATGTAAACATGGCTTGATTTGAGGAGGCGGATGGCTTTTGGTAGGAGGGCCTCTGGGTTGTTCTGGGCTTTGGATATCTGAGAACTCCGCTGCGAGACGATGACTAGGACTCGAAGGGGGTTTCCCTGGGACATGATGGACTGGAGATGTGAGGAGTAGTCCCTTGGGAGGTTTGCCTGGATGGGTTCTTACCGAGCTAGACAAGACTGAATGTTGTGGATTGTCTCTACGCCTTTTCAGTAATTTCTAGAGAGCGCACTGCTACATACGGAGATTTCTCAGGGTCCTCGAACAGAGTTTAAATATCTTTTTTCCCCCTTTCTCTTTCTTCACCTAAGAGACACATGGGGGCAAAGTCGGTGTCTGACCTGGACTAGATCATAACCTTCCAATGGCCCGACAGTCCGGTCGTTCAAATCAGAACATTTTCTAAGGGATGATCATCCGTCACATTGTACAGAGCATGCTGACAGCTAAGTACAAGGGTCTTGCAGCTGGATATCAACGCTGCCGGGTACCTGGTGACTGGGTTGAGAGGTTGGGATGAGACTCGTGTGTCAGTCTAACGTCAAATAATGTACAACGTAGCAAACCTGCAGTATGCATCGGATAGGATAAAATAAAAGCGAGAGAGAAAAAAGATTGAGAATCCAGTTTGATTTGAACGAAAGCTGGATGTCACCAAGAAGGATGTTGTAGTTGATAGTCGACGGAAGGCGGTGGGTGGCTAGTGAAATTTCCCCGCGCGTGTTTGTTCCTTCAACGCGTCAAACCCCAGCCCGAGAAGACCAATCTTTTCGCGATGGATGATGCAACAACCTCCTTGCTCACTGAGCACTTCAGTTACACACCCTTGGTACGTCAATCAAGACTGATACGCATTGACTCGTGCTGCGCGCGCGACCTGCGACCTGCGACTCACCCCTTGCAACTAGGAATATCGCTGACAGCTCCCTAGTCTCTCATAGATGACATTATCAATTCGATCAACAACCTGATCTATCAAGCGATCTCTAGCTTAGAGTCCGGACTCCTCAATACGCCGCCTGAACGACTCGGTTTCTCCCATGATAGCAGTGGTCCTAGTATCGCAGAAACAGACGAGGATGGCAATGTGATTTATCCTGAGGCGAAGCTAGAGATCGAGAATGGACTGCATCAGCTAGAGACGCTGCTAGAGGCCAATGTTGATAAGGCCTTCGACAAATTCGAGATCTATGTGCTGCGCAACATTCTCACGGTGCCCGGGGACTTGCTCTCTTGGGTACGCCTGAAGCATTACGAGGTATGTGGAGTAATCCACAGGTTTTGGAAAAGAAAATATACTAATGTCCCTTGTGGTAGGGTCTCTCTTTCGGATCTTCGCCAGATGCGCCGACGCCAGAAACCATACATGCGCAACGCAAGAAGTTGTTCGAGACGAAGAAACTGAACCGGTCCCTAAAAGAAGAACGCGCTCGAAATGACGCCGTAATCTCACAACTACAATCTATTCTGTCGACAGTCGAAACGGCCAAGGCAGACGGTGTGTCCATAACGGCCGAAGACAAACCAGTGGATTTGTCCTTCTTGACCTCTACCCCAGCTGCACGTCAACTTCGTGTTGGCGTGGATGCTGGGCCGAATGCTAAACCCACACCTCTTACGACCAACACTACTTTCATTCTCTCGCAGCTGCCCACGTTGCAGACGACACTTGAGCATCTCCGGCCGAAATTGGCAGCCCTACCCAATGCAACGGTGCCAATGGAAACCAAGTCCAAGAGAGACGAGAGAAAGGAATACATCGAGAGTAGAATTCGACTCCATCTCGAGCGAGCTGGCCAGCTTGCTATTGGTGACGATGGAAACCCAGTGGTCGCAGGTCGCAGAATCGACATCAGAGAGGCGCACGCCCTTGAAAGCGTCGCAAACATGCTTACGCAAGACAAGCATGTGTAAGAGAACGTGCATGTGAAAAAAATGTTTTGTTCCTACGACTCTATTATTGAATATGTACTGGTCGGGTTACTAAGACCAAGTGATGCTCCATGTCTCTTGGGTCTTTCTGAAGGGGACCACGTCAATCTTGTCTGACTGGAGGATCTCCGAGATCTTCTCGCCCTTTCTCTCGATAGTGATGAATTCCTTCTGCTCCTCTGGGAGGCCGTAGAAGGCCCGTCCGAACTTACTCATGAAACCCTCGACAATTTCTGGCGTGATCTCATCCTCTTTAAGGACACCGTTATCGCAGGCCTGCTCAAAGGCATCAATCACAACCTGAGTGGTGTATGGTTGGGTGAAGACGCCGGCAGCGATCTTCTCGCCACCACGCTTGGATGCCGCAGGGTGCGGGGCGCTGTCGGAGCCGAAGAAGAACTTCGGGTTTCCTGAAGCAGCAGCACGGAGAAGGGCATCCCGGTCGGCTGGAGTCTTGGCAACGGGCTTGCAGAAGCAGAATGGGTCGCCGGCCCATGAGTCAATAATAATGGATAGGTGATGAGCAGTGATTGTACCAGAAACTGTGGGACCGCACTTCTTCACAGCATCCACAGCCGCAGCAGTGGTACAGTGCTCCAGAATGATGCGCAGCTTGGGGAACTTAGAGTGCAGCTCAAAGAGCTTGGGAAGGAATCGCTCCTCCGCGGACAACACTGTCACGTCACCCCCAGAGGGACTTTCTCCGTGCAGATTCAAGATCATATTTTGTCGCTCCATCTCCTCGAAAACGGGGTAGAATTGCGTGTAGTCGACCACGCCGGAAGAGGAGTTGGTCGTCACACCGGCCGGGTAACTCTTGACACCAACAATGCCGCGCTTCTTGGCTTCAATGATGGTCTCCGGGGTCACGGTCTCGTGGAGGTACAGCGACATAAGGAAGTTCACATTCGGCTCGAGGGCTTGGAGGCGCTTCTGGTAGTCCAGAGCACGGTCGACGGTTGTAATGGGTGGCACCAGGTTGGGCTATTGAGCATATTAGACATAGCTCCAAAGACAGAATTTAATTTCCCCAATTAAGAAATTCCCCTTACCATAACGAAAACGGTGTTCACACCACCCTGTCGGATAGTGGGAGTCACCAAATCCATCATTGGACCCTCACGAAGATGGACTATCTTTGGTCAGCTTGCATCTATTAATTCCCCGGAATTGCTTAGTACCATGGAAGTCGGCCGAGGCGGGGAGCTTTACTCCCTGCAGCTTAGAGAGAGGCATGATGAATTCCAAATCAAAACCAAGCTCTAATTGCAATTATATCTCTCTGATATGATATGTTTCAAAAGAGAAAGTCGGATCTTTCACTTTTTTGCCCCGCCATTTCTGAAAAAGTTCTGCCGATGGCGGTGGCGACCCCACAAGCCAGTTACTTCTTGGAATCTTCGACTGTTGGACTCTTGGACTCTTTTGACACCTCGGATTCTTGGAAACAAAAATCATACAAAGACTATAGGGAGGTAAGATCTGTGACCATAAGAAGCTAGGTTGATTTGAAAATAGAAATATCCCAATCTTACCTGCACCATTCTCCTCGCACGGACTACTATGCACAATGGCACGTCTGGCATAGTACTCGGGGAGAACCATTGATATACAAAGACCAAGGCCTAGATTCGTTCAGGGAATACAATAATGCCTCGAATAAACAAGACAAGGATGTGGTGTTCCTGAATCATTATCCTTGCCGCTGGTGGCCCCAAGGCACAATGCTCGGCGCTTCGCCATCACCTATCACAGGTCACCATGACCACCCTCAGGGAAAGTTAGATTTTCCAAAAGACGAATGAGATTAGTTCTTCAACAAGTTCGATGCAAACCCCGCTCAGACTCTATCTTTGGCCCTACTAGGCGCTTCGTTGATGCTTGTTCCCCGATGTGTCTGCCAAGGCTGCATGCTGGCGCCCAGGCAATTATGCTCCGGGGATGCACAAGTCCCAGTTGCAAGGCCACTGTTTACAATTCTAGACAGCCCTCCGAATTTAACCCAGAGCCCCGGGCGAATCAGCGCGGTGGTTTTCCCACCGAGGCGCTCTGCATGACTATATACAGTAATATGGGCTGAATATCGTCTTCGGAGTACGCGCCCATTCGGTAGTTACTTCTGTGATAACACTGTCGCTTGCTAAGCTAGTCCCTGGATCAATCGTAGGACTATGTTTCCACGAATATACATATCCCAGCTGATATCCCTTAATTGTCATTCGAGACAGAGTCGTCTGAACATAGTACCTGCCTTTGTTTTTTTTTTTTTTTTCTTATTCTTTTTTATCATTGCCCCTGAGGGGTTTTTCGTTCTTTGATATCCATTACAAGGATTTATTACCCTTGCCGGCAAGGTCATTAACAGTTACACACACTCTCCTTCGACCCCTCTCTCTACCATATCACGAAAGCTCAACGACTCTCCATCATGACCTCAAACTCATCCCTCACCGGATCAGGCGGTGCTTACTCTTCAGATATGGAGGAATCAAACTTTTTGAAACGCAATCGCGTCATTCACCTTACACGACTTGGTCTATCTTTCTTGATTTTCGGCGTTGCTATTGCCGTCGTCGCGTGCGAAGCCCCACCCTTGCGGCATTATAAGAACACCTCCCAATGGGCGAGTGCCGGTCTTGCACTGTGGCCTTTGAACTTTGACCTCCGTCCAACAATTGCCGCTATTTCCTGTGGCTGTATAATCACCATCTTGAACTTGGTATACATCGCCGTTGCGCTTCTACCATCTGTGAGTCTTACACCCATCCCATCGTGTGACTACCCTTGATACCTTATGCTAACTAACGCCCATCTAGCCACATTCCCGTATCAAGTCACTTAACATTTACGCCTCAGCCTCAGCCATCGCGGGGTTTTCGACCGCCCTGGTCGGAATCCTATTCATAATCTACTTACCATCCTCGGATTACCCAGCAGGGTTCAGCAGGAACGAAACCCTCCACAGCTGGACCTGCAAGTGGAAAACTGGAACAAGCAGCGCTAACACACCCCATCACTTTGATCGTGACTGCATCAATACTCGCGCTGGCTTTGTGTTGTTGTGTGTACTTCTTGGGATGGAGGTGTTGATGGGACTCGTTGCTGCCGTTGGCACGTGGTTCCAGCGCGATGTTTCTCGTCGTCGGGCAGAGCAGTTCCAACTTGAGAAGTTGGAGATTGCTACTAAGCAGGTGTATCGCAGTTGAGTGAGTAATTCCGGGAGGATTTAGGTGCTGTGTAAACGTGGCGTTGGGTTACGGATATATATGTATGAATGTATGGTTATTGTGATGGACGAAAGGGATGTATTCTGGTTATTTATGTTAGGAATTTATTTGATGTATTTGTCGTTGTTATAATTCATATTGCAGAGCAAATGTTCCAAAATCAATGCTATTCTGAAAGTTTATATACATAACCCAATAACCGTCTAGACTCACTTGAGACTGGTAATTGCTTCCTCCGGGGGCCAGCCGTCTCAAAATGTCGCCCCTATCCCCAGGACCACAAGAGCCATCCAGCTACTGGCATCGTTCACAACTGCAGCTCCCTCTGATGGACTCGTCGACTTCTCGTTCCCAACCAAGGCTTTGGTCGGTCCGGCAGTAGTAGACGAGCTGTCACTAGTGGTTAGACTGGCATCTATGTCGGTTGGCTGTGCGGCATTCGACCCGGGCAGAGTCCACGAGGGTGCGACGGTGGTCTCTCCTACGTCGTATGCATTCGCGGTAGCGCAATTATTTACGCTGAGTTGTTTGGCCGCGGACGAATCCGGGTCATCATCTGAGCAGTCTACGTAACAGCTGTTCAATTATGTCAGTGCTGCGGAGTTGGAGGTATAGATAACTCATTAAGGAAAGGAATTGTAAGAGCTAGACAGGTGGTCTACTCACTTGGCAATGTTTGCAGCGCCCGAGCACTTGCAGTCCCAATCACTCGAGGCACACTTCGCGAGTCCACGCTTCATGATCCCGACGCAATGATCTACAACTCTGTTGATTATGAGAAAGGAACCTCGAATGACAAGTTGATGGTACTTAAGAGGCTTATAGGCTTACTTTTGGGAAGCGCAGTTTGAGTTGCCGCTTGTGCTTGCCGATGTGGTTGTCGCATCTTGAGCGGCGATAAGGGTAGCTGATGCAGCAAGTAGGAGGGAGAGATGAGTAGTAACAAAATGCATCTTGATACTGAAAAAGCCTATATTGAAGAATAAATGGACTTAAAATGCGGATAATATGCGTCCTGATAGGCGTACTCTGAGAGTCGATGGGATTTAAAGTTCAAGCAGATTCACTCGAGACCTTATATTGGGGATAAAAACTTGGATTTCGAACGTTACATTCATCTTAAAGGCAATGAAACCGTTGAGCCCTCTCTCAAGGCCGTGTCTATTCCCGGCACATTGACAGGAGGGGAGTCTGAAGAAAGCACCCACGTGGAAATGTGTTGCAGGGTCCACATTCTTAGCCAGGTAGCATATATTCTTCCTATGTATGCCCAAGAAAGCTGCACGTATTGAATGAGAGAGATTGAATAAGCCAACTATAAAATACATATTTACCGTTCCTTGCGTGTGCTAGGTTAATATAAGGACCTATACAACAAAGTTTGATTGAAGAGATACAGATCGAACCAGAGGAAGACAACTTGGCCCAAAGCGGTATTCCTCCGGGCCAAACCAGTTTATGAGTTACCATGGAAGGTGATAATGAGGTGTTTCTTCAACATCATGACCGCCTCTGATGTCGCATTCCAGAGGTCGGGGTTGCATTCCTCGCAAACCCCTTGGCCAATGGTGAGGGACCAGAGCCGCATTAGGAATGTATAATTCTCCACTATATTATATATGGAACTGGCTACGTACAAGTTCGTATGAGTATAGATAGTATAATATTAGTACTGCAATAGAAAGCCCCGTCGATATCTTCTCCATTTCCAGACTTAGAAATATAATAGTTTACTCCGCAACTTCTATATCACGAGGTCGATATCAGATATAAGGAAAGGCTGTATGCCTTAGGCTGCTTCCTTGATGAGACTGTGAGTGAGCATGAAAAGACATGGTTCTTGAACAACAGTTAATTTATTGCATGGAGAGAACAGCCGCCGCGAAGTTACCATCGTAGACAATTGAAGCTACTTACTCTTTCTTTCCTTTTCCAATTACCTTTACTATCAATTGCGAAAATGGCACTCATCGGTCCCAGAGGCCCTAGGCAAAGTAAAGTAGAAGGAAACCCGGTCTTACCATTTAGCCGATTTCCCGACCATTGTGCTCATCCTTTTGAGCCGCGAAAGTGCACACTGGCAGAGTTGCCAAAGTCATCACATCTACAAGCAGTATAATCATGGGAGAAGACGAATAACTAGGGTCCTTGTCCCTATCCTCGTCCTCATACTACTTTTCCTTGCTTTCCTCGTCCTCATCTTCTTGAAGTCCCAGGCATCAAACCATAACTAAATATCTGTATGCTTCGGGCCACCATCAAACCCCTTTCAGAGTCAGTTTGTGTTCCCGTTGTATATCTAGGACTAGTATAATAACCTCTGCTCCCGCTGGAGACATGACTGCCTTTCCTGTTTACTCCTGGCTCTTTCTTTCGGCCAGAGATATCTATAAAAATCAAATCATGACCTTTCTCCTAACAACATCGCCATCAACATCCCTCGACGCTTTCGGCCAAAATGTACATAGCCTGGGAGAGTGATGGGGAAGTAGATGACCAGAGCTGGAATAAGCTGGCCTAGCATGGGTTCAAAGGGCGCCAATATGTCAATATTTAAACTTCGTTCCGACAGCCCAGAGGTTTGCCTGGTAAGGAACTGTTCGGCCGTCTATGAGCCTGGAGAGCTCCAGATTTGGATCAAACCAGACACCAAATATGTATGTCAAATATGATGTGTCTTGAACAGAGCAAGTGCAAACGGTAAGAGAAGGGCGGTAATAGCTCGCATGACCCGCGGCGGGCAAACGCCAACCATTGTAAATTTTCCTTCCTGGAAGCTCACAACTCTCCCTCGTCGCCTTACGCTGCTGTGAAGTTTCACAACCACCAGTCTAGCGCATCTCTTCTTTCTTTGTTTCTTCCGTCTCTTTGTCAAGAAATGAGCCAGCAGCGTCCTCCTTCTGGCGCCGGTGGCGGCAGACACGACGGCGGCAGACTTGCCCAGCGCCGTTGCAATGAAGCCTGGCGTTCTATGGACCGTGTAAGCATATTAGACACACAATTGACCGTTTGAAATGTCTGCAGAGCAATACTGATATCACTCACAGCAAAATGCTGCCCAAGCCGCTGCCCAGGCTGTCCAGGACGCTCGCGTCATCGAGCTAGTTGCACGAGCCATTCAGCACCGAGTCGATGTATGTTATTCACTGCTTTTCATCTAGCTAGACATTTGGAGGCCCTGTGCTGACACCACTTATAGCAAGAGGGATTTCAACCTTCTCCTGCTCGCGATGCTCGTGTTGCCGAGCTCATTGTTCGTGCACTCGATGCTCATGTGGACCTGAGAAGAGAGGTGAGGATTACCCCCATTCCCCCATTTTTTCAGACCAGACCTTCTTTCAGGATGGCGGCAGTGGTCATGATATCTGACGTGCATGACCTACATAGCAGAACTTCAGTGCACGTGGCAGCTCATTCCGTGGGGGCCGAGGCCGTGGTGATATGCAGGGTGGCCGTCGTGGGCGTGGTCGTGGTCGTGGCGGCGGCCGCGGCGGCCGCAGCCGTGATTCTACTCGTGAAGCTGGCCGTGGCAGATATGACCATAGGTGCGGTCACGGTGCTGCTACTACTCGTGAAGGTGGCCGTGGTGGATATGACCACAGGTACGGTCACGATGCTGCCCACCGCGCTGGAGTGTTTGACGCCGGTCGGCAAAACCCTCCGAGTGACCAGGTTACTACCCGCCAACACTCCGGTCATCAAGTTGTCCGCCAGGCTGCCCCAAGTGGACCCCGGGCGTAGACCAGACACCAAACTCGTCTGGAGGATATGGCAGGTAAGAGTGATTTGCTTCTCTCAGTCAACATCCAATACTTTCTTTCTCATGGCTTTAGCCATGTTTTCTGGTCGATGTTCAAGCCTCCATTCCTATGTTATCACCATGCCTTGATCAATCACGATACTGGATTATACTAACCGTCATATGTGCTATAGATGCTGACGCCCCGTAAGGGCATGCGGTTTCAGTGCGGCGCCAGTTTGAGGCTGAATCTCAATGACTCGATGAATTTGTGTTTGGCTTTGGCTCAAGAGGAACAGCCCGTCGGGGGCTCTGTCTCTCGGATCATTGCTGTCTGTTTCGGGGAGGCTTTGTTTCTTCTCTGTTCTTCTATCGAAACATGAACGTTATCTCTTTCGCTCATCATGGACAATTCAATAATTTACCAATTCTCTCTGAACTCATTTATATATCCACATAATTCCCCTGCCAATATTTCAAGAATGCCATCAAGCGCCTTCCCAAAAGATCTTGGGAAATGCTATTATTGCTGACCCCGTCGTCAACCATATACCGTGTTATCATGTCGCCCACGACCTAGTCCCATGTGTCTCTCAAGGGAGCAGCGGGTCTGGGACATTGCTTCTCTTTACAAGAGTTTGTGACTTGAGTGATGGACGGCTAGGGCTGTACGAATTTTGTCGTTCGGGCTGCCAATAATTTGGAAGACTCTGTGCTTTTTCAGAAGCGCCACCTGTAGTAGGAGTACAAGGTGTCTCTATAGATGAGATACACGATTTGAGATTGTTTTACCCGTACTTGTTAGAACCTGTATCATAGACAAATAAGCAAGGGTGTTGTTGAAGATGACGAACATACATCACCACGACACCGCCTTTGGCAGAAATCCATCTACGTTGTTGCACCTTCCAACCTTCCAACGTTGCTTTGGATTTCTCTTGATAAGCCCAGACATTCAATATATTTTGCAGATGTCAAACCCTACTCTGCCAGAAAATCAGGACCTCGATGAGGAGGCCTATAACTCCGCCGAGGATGAAGATTTCGAGCTAGACGAGGCACCGGACGACTCCGACTTATCTTCCGATGCGGAGGCCGCAGAACCCGCAAAGAAGAAGCGAAAGACGGTCACCCAATCTCAGCCCCTGGAGGATGCAGAACTTGACTCTGGAGATGAGGCTACTATCAGAAAAGCGAGGGAGAAGAAAGAGAAGGCCAAGGGAAAGAAGACCAAGGGCAAACGCGCGCGCGATAGCGATGAGGACGATGGCGACATTGACATGGATGACGATGAAGGAGGAACAGGTGGATTCGTGCGAACACGCGCAATGAAACAGCAAATGTGAGATTTTTGTTCTAGCCAATGTTTCTTGACTTATTATCGGGTTCTAACCCGCGTTTCCCCGGGCAGACAAGAAGAACAGCGCAAACCGCTGGCCAGGATCGACGGCGCGACCGTGGACGTGAACGCCCTGTGGGAGCAGATGAATGCGCCCCAAGGAAAATCCAGCTTGCAGCCACCCCAGACCCAGCAGATACCCGAATCTGCCCCCGAACATGAACCAACGAAAGCACCGGACCAGGGTACCAGAGACGCGGGACACAAAATAGACCATGCCGCGCACACTGACCAGATGATCAAGATCAAGCGCACCTACAAGTTTGCCGGGGAATGGATCACAGAGGAAAAAGTTGTGCCCAAACACTCGGCGGAGGCTAAAGCGTTTTTGTCGAGTGGCGAGAATGTCGAATACGCCGATGAGGATGCCGCAGCCGCAAACACCGCTCGTAACCTTCGGCGACCGCTCCGCAAGATCTCGCGATTCGACCCTAACCCGACCGGCACGATTAAGAAGAGCTGGGAAAAGCAACTCGTTGCCGACAAAGACGCGCGCGGACCCAAAATCAACACCGTGGAGAAGTCACGACTCGACTGGGCTTCGTACGTCGACTCGGCGGGTATCAAAGACGAGCTGCGCACGCATAGCAAAGCCAAGGAGGGTTATATCGGCCGCATGGATTTCTTGGGTCGTATGGAAGACAAGAGGGAAAACGAACGGCGGGCTGCACGGCTCAAGGGCATATGAAAACAGTTGTGCACTCTCTACCCGAACCTCCTTCTGGTGTCAGAAACACTTTTCCTCCCGCCGCGTCCTACAACAAGAACGTGGCTCTACACAGAGTCATGTTATTGCGACACACTCTACAACCCTTATATTAGCTTATTTTGAGCAACAGCTCACTCGACTTGGATTGAAAGGGTGAGCTCTCGACCTCTTAACTCCCACCCGCGTCACCAGTGCCCAACATTACGGTGCGCCTCATGTCCACTATAGGGCCAGGATGCATTCACGAGAATGGTCGATGTTGAACACGACTATGTGCTCAACAACCCTACAGTATCACCACCGGTCTACATTTATAACCAGTGAAACTTTAATGGTCAATCAACGATCATCATCGTATTAGATCAAGGAGAATTTGAATCTGTATCAACCTGTATCAACCTGTATCAACATGTACTATATATAGCTAATCCAAAGATACCATTTCAGCACACATTGTGCAAATCAGCAATAACAATTATCACCAAGACATATCAACCCTGTTCCCTATTTCCAATTTACTTGGGCACATACTTGATGCCAGTCTTTGGGCAGCCAGAAGTAGTGACTAAAAAGCACCAAGATGTCAGTAAAGATCCCACCAAAAAGCAACCGATAAAACTTACGTGTATCAACAGCCTTGTATGTTCCATCAATGGCATTGCCCTTAACGTTGTAGAAATACCAAACCTGGTTCAACTTGCCACTAGAGCAGCCAAGGTAAACCGACGCGCCATGCATGGTAGTAAGAGCCTCCTGGATCGCGCTGAGAGTGTAGGTCTTGGATGTACTCGGGGTAATGCCAGCAGCGGCGAGAGCCTGGAACACAGTCAGAAACGAACAGGACATATTATGAAAGGAAAAGAGGGGGGAACATACCTTGTACGTATCCAAACTCTTGAACAAATCAACCGTCTTCTGGAAGAAATCACCTACTTCCTCCTGCGGCTTGTAGCCGGAATAGCAGCTGGGATCGATGGTATTGACGCAAGTACCATGCTTGCTCCACTCGTGCGACCAGAAGCTCTCGTTCTCGCCGTTGATATCGACCCAATACTCATCCATGTAGTCGACCAGGTCACCGAGGTCCTGGTCCTGCAGGATGGCTGTGATGTTGGAGTAAGCGCGCTCCGAGTCACAGCTCGACTTGTATGTACCGTCGCAGTTGTCGGGCCTGGGGGCAGTGATTAGTCTATGACTCTGGATATTTATACAAGGGATCTAGATCTGATTGAGCTATCAATGTTACATACCACAATCCGTGAATGGTCCATGAATCGTCGGGACCGGTTGATGGGCTGGTATCCCAGAATTGAGTCTGGAGGAGGGCACCACCTGGGTAGTTGAAGCAACAAGTTGGCTCTGTGGAGGAGCTCGCGCAGCTGAAGGGAGTACTGCTGGCACAAGTTTCAAGGCTGGCAGTTGTGCCGGTGATTAGGCCCATGGCTGCTAGGGCCAGCATGCCCTTTGGGGATTGGGATTGGAACATGTTTTTTTCAAGATTGAATTGAGGAGGAATTGTCAAGCTGAATGAAGAGATGTAAGGGGATCACCGGACGGTTTTATGTTTTAGTCCAGAGATCATCTTCGGCAGAAATATCGTCAGGTACATAGCCAATGTAGCACATGCACCGATAAGAAGACGCTGATTTGTTCTCGGAAGTCGCCGCTATACCTATCGTCTCGGAGAAGAAGTACTATAAAGGAGAGGAGTGCTAGTCGAAGTAGGCGACGATCATCGAGCGGGGCAAAGTTGAGTGGTGGGCTTTTCTCCCTTGTTCTCCCTTTTTCTCCAATGAAAAGACAGAAATCCACAACGCACTCTAGCGCTAAATCAAAGTCCGACGGTTTTCGTCTGAAGAAGGCTGACGAAACGCCATTCGAGGTTGCATCGACCGGGCTACTCCTTCGGATCTCCGACTGTTAATTCAAAGTCGATCCAAGTTGATTCGATCCCCGCAAGATTAAACCCGCTGATCACCTAACCCTGGGATTTACACTGTTTTATCTGAAAGCTGGCATTGCTTCGCTTAGAAGATAATGACTGTTGTGGATATCTCTATGGATTGGATTACTGCTACGTCTACGCCATATCTGCAGGCTGACAATGTGTTCTCCACATGAAGAAACCCGTGTCGGCTTGCTTGGATGTAATAAGATTGGCCGAAGAAATATATAAATTAAGATGACAAAGGGTCCTGCTCCTCATCATTGGCTCGCGGAGACGGTCCAAGTCGAATGTGCCAAACGGCGGCCACAGCAACAGCGAAAAAGAGAGAGGCTTGGAAGAAAGGCAGTCCCATCCAGACAGTTCCAAGATGCATACCTAACCGGAAGAGATTGGCAAATAAGGGACCAGAAATGAGTGTTCCGACGCCCTGTGCAATGGCAATTGCCGAATACAAAGTGCCAGCATGATCAATTTGGACGAGTGAAGTAGCCAGACTGCGTGTGGTGATCGTGAATGCTGAACCGATTGACGAGATGACTTGGCCACCGATTAAGACCGGGGGGGTGGGAGCTATAGAGATAATGGCGAAACCAATGATCGAAAGCACGCCGCTGCCTTTGCTCATGAAATGGTCGTTACGTTTTCCACGAAGGTTTAGGTGTTTGGTAGCTAAGAGTGACAGGATTGGCATTATGACCAAATATGTCACGAGAGCAAATATCCCGCGCAGCGAGATTAAGAGACTGGCCTATATCATGGTTAATCTTTTTTTTTCCTTCTTTTTTTTCTTTTTTGATTATTTGACTGAGGGGAAAGGGCACATACGCGACTAATACTCCAATCAAACTTCTTTGACACATATTGCAGAAGCAGGTTCGTGGATTGTCGACTCATCACTGTGACGAACATCACAAAGATCATTAAACAAATATTAGTATCGGTCCAAATGAAGCGTGTCGACTGTGCGAACTCGCGAACTTGTCGGGTGACCTCCTGTAACACTGTCCGCTTCCTCGGAGGCTGGGACTGCTCGCTTTCGCTGTCCTGTTCTGGTGCCTCTTGGTTGACTCGGTTTTGTTTTGGGTGTTTGAGAGTCTCGGGTAAGAACAAAGCTGGAATACTTCCTAAAATAATGATGCCTATTGAGAGGATATAGGGAACCATCGGACCGAAAGTCATCAGATAGGCACTGAGTGGAGTAGCCAGAATCTCTGCGATTTGGACGCAAGACTGTAAACGGAAGAGTGCGGTTGCTCTGTATACATGTCAGATTGATCACCGAGAAAGGTCAAGTCATAAAAGTTTACCTCTCATCTTCGGTGAAGACATCAGCCACTATGACCATGGCAATGGCCGTGAGGACTTGCTCGCCACCGCCGATGATTTTGAATGCAGCTGCCAACCAGACCATCCGGAGGGGAATGACGGTTGACCATAGACCTAGGGTGAGGGCTCAGTAAAAACATCGACCAAAGAGTTCAATGGCCAACTTACAAACTATTCTAACCCAGATCTCGCCGAGGAGAATTCCCAGCATGCCAAGATACAAGAGAGGCTTTCGCCCCCAGCGATCTGACATCACACCATACGGCAGCGAGAGTATGAGACCTGTATTTCCCCCCAAAAAATCAGTATCCCAATATCGTTATATCGTAGAGCCCTGGAGGATACATACCAGGCACCACATCAAATGTATTCTGGTACCCAATCACGAGCGCCAGTTCTCCTTGCACAGCCTCTGATTTACATGGATTGGCCTCTGGTGGAATCAGAGTATCATTTCCCGCCCCATGCAGAGTGGCCTTGTAGTTTCGACAGATGATCTCTTCATACACAGCAATTTGCGGCGCGGTGGACATGAAGAATCCGAAATCGGCTGACAGCAAGAATATCGCACACACAATGGAGATCAGTAGTTTCTTTGGGTGCTGAGCTGGTTTGGTCGTGTGTGTGCCCAACAGTGGCGCTGTCTCGCCTGTTATTGAGTCGACGGACATTGTGTCGATCTGTGCGGTCATTATGAATGTCCTTAAAAAGGTACAGACCCCCTACAAGTCAAGAAAGGGTAACCCTTCAACATCGGGGAATATCGAGAAGGGGGAGATATTTATTGACGGTCATCCCTTTTAAAATTGCTGCCTCTGTGCTTATGTGCTTATGGTGTCGGAGTCCAATGATAAAGATAGGCCGTTGGCATCCCGCTCTTTTCGTGACAGGGGTCCCTTTTTTTTTTTCTTTGTTTAAACGTTCTTTTTCGATAGTTATCTTAATATTTGACTTGATATTCATTTAATTTTGTTCTAAATTCAAACTCTCACTCTTTTAGCCCATGAAATTCCCACATCCTTTGGCCTTTCAGAGGACATTTATTTCAAAACTCGGAGCTCGGAGTTCGGGGCTCAAGTGCAAATGTCTCAAAAGTCCCAAAAGATAAGCTCCACGTTTTTTATGGCATCGATCGTATAACACTTAAATTGAAAATGAGAAAATGGTGATTTGACATATTAAACAAGACATGTCATAGCCCTGGATTTATACACTCCAGGGCTCCCGAGCTTTCTCTGTGAAACCAAACTTACCAGCATGAACGCTCCCGGGATGACCCAAGGAAACGTGGCCCTGGGTAGTGCAGTTGTGCGATCTGTGGCTTTGCTATCGTGATGCAGTTCAAGTATCCCAACCCGAATGCACTCAAAACCCCCCATGTCGGTTTGGCCCATCGGTCTGGCCCCCAAAATATGAGCCAGTTCTTCAACACACCGATAGTCAGGATCCATCACGAAGCAGGAAGACCCGGCTGTACCAAAGTCTCGATGATATGCAGTGATATCTCACAAAACATGACATTGCTGATCGCATTCTTTTCAAGGAATTAACCACGCAAATCTGCAAGTTCCCGTCCGCGAGTCTCGCCTTTGTCTTCTGCATGCGCCCGAAGCTGCACCTTGGGATTTCAAACCTGACCACCAAAACTGCATCATTGTGGAGATCTTGAAATTCCCGAGACCGGGGGATTTTCTTCGGAGGTTTA